AGAGGTCAGGAAACAGACCTTACGACAACAGGCTGAGAGCTATGGAGCTCTTTAGCCTGGAAAACTGCAGGCTCAGGGATGATCTGATGGTCACCTATAAGTTTATCAGGGGTGACCACCAGGATCTGGGGGAACGTTTGTTCACCAGAGCGCCCCAAGGGATGATGAGGTCAAACGGTCATAAACTACTGCAAGACAGTTTCAGGCTGGACATAAGGAAGAATATCTTTACAGTCCAAGCCCCCAAGGTCTGGAACAGCCTGCCATCGGAGGCAATCCAAGCACCTACTGTGAACACCTTCAAGAGTAAATTGGATGCTTATCTTGCTGGGATCCTATGACCCCAGCTGACTTCCTGCCCTTCGGGCAGGGGGCTGGACTCAATGATCTTCCAAGGTCCCTTCCAGCCCTAAAGTCTATGAAATCTATTAAATGTGTGTATTAAATTAAAAAACAAAAATATCTGACCCTTAAAATAAGAATGAACAGAACAGTAAAGTATATCATACCCTCAAGAACCCTCATGTAAAAAGGAGAAACCTAAGGATTTGGACTGTAGCTCATTATAGCTGTTCAAATACCACAGTAAAGAACTTGATATAGTGTGGGTGGCACTCACACTAAGAATGCAGCTGCACTGTAGTGAGTATCAACAGTATCCAGCCTGATACTCTTGAGGACAACTGTTTTAAGAAAACATGCATTTGATTAAAAGACGAGACCATGCATCCTGAGCTATGCACAGCATTCCAGGATATTCTATCTTAGCAAAGAGTATACACAAGGCATAACCCAATTACAATGCTCAAAGAAAAACACTTTAATTTAGGTTTGGCAAGTAAAATGAAGCAATAGACAGACATTGCGTTATACTACTATAATGAACTGAATACTAGGGGTGTGCAAAGCAAGCTGTATTCAATTCAGATTCGGCCCGATTCAAGGGACAGTGATACGATTCATTGATTCAGATCACTGTCCCAATTCAATTCAGCTGAATCTGAAGACTCGATGCCAAAACGGAGTATCAGCAATTTGGCCACGGACACAACTTTAAATGTTTTTTCTACGTACCTTGAGGTACCATGTGCGGCCTGTGAATGCAGAGATGGTGGGGCAGCTGGAGCATCCCACCGGAGCACATGGCGGAGCCCCCGCTCCCTCAGCTCGGCAATTGGCCACAGGGGGACCCTGGGTGCCCCCCCAGACCTAGAAG